TGAGGTCCAGACTTGTTCATGAAGTCCAAATCTGTTCATGAGGTCCAGACCTGTTCATGAGGTCCAGACCAGAGCCCAGACTGAAGAGAACGACTTTTAGAGACTCGTTTTCAGGAACCACAGCAGCCGTGAGGAGAAGACATGGACGTGTGTAGACACGACTGCAGCAGGAGGAGCAGTGGGGGAGGGGGAGTGGGTGGGGGAGGTCATGCAAGTTTGGACTCATTCAAATGGGTGAGGCTCCTTCACCTGGGAACGTCCCAGCATGGGACTAGGGAACGTCAGGAGAGGAAACACTAAAATGAACTCTGGTACTCTCTGGTACTTTTGGATCTGTCGGTACCAGACTTATCCGATATTTTATCCCCAGTTTGAACAGTCGGAACAATGACAGATCCAGTGGGGGACGACAGTGACTTTATTCACGCTGTAGCAACAGCGGCGTTTGGACACAGGAAGTAGAGTGAAGAACTTCCTCTTCTGAAACAGAACTGTTCAAACTGTAGTCACTGGTTTCATTAACAGGAACTATCAGTTCAGGAACCGAGTCACCAACTGACCCACTGACTCCGTCACTGACAGGTTAACGAGTCACATTGCTAACATTTTCATTAACTCACTAAGTATTTACACTTCACTATTGAACTGATGACGTCACTACATCTCTACATGATTCACTGTACGATGACCTGGCTACGTCAGAAAGAACACAAACACACACACAGAAAAGAGCAGTTATGTTGGCTTCGGTTCGTGTGTGTACATGGCCTGGTTTATCTGAACTTGCGGGGGCATTTTTTGTGAGAGCGCGTGTTTCTTTGTGTGTGTATTTGTTTGTTTGTTTGTTTGTATGTGTGTGTGTGTGTGTGTGTGTGTGTGTACCTCCTCCAGCGCAGCCACTGTGTTCCTGCAGTGCAACATCCGGGTGCTGAAGCTGGAGGTAGTGGGCGCTGTATAATCCTCATTGGTCTCTGATATAAACTCCGTCACGCTGATCACTTCCGGCATCCTGAAGTCCGACGGGAAACGACGGGAAAGAAAAAAAAACAGTCACCTGGATACTCAGGCCACGTCTGACGTCATCGCCGCACAATAGAACTACGACTACTGTTACAACTGTTTCTACTACTACTACTACTACTACTACTACTACAAGTACTAGTACTACAGCTGCCGCCGCTGCTGCTCTACCTGAAGGAAGGGGCGGGAACAACAAGGGGTGCGGTCAAATATTACAATGGGAGGGACGTTCACTGAGGGACACACCCCACCACTGTGACGTATTAGTAACGGTAAAACCAGGAAGTTTAATTCAGTAAAACAAGTAAAAGAAAAGACTCAAAAATAAATAAAACAGCAAATAAATAACTAAATAAATAAATAAAACAACTTCTTGTTTTGTTTCAACTCAGTATTGAAAGGTCCTGACAGGGATGACCACAGGTCCTGACAGGGACAAATGTGTATCGATGAGTGTGAGAGTCTAAAGGTCTGGTTCAGAGTTAATGTGTGACTGTTCACAGTGAAGTGAGGTTTAGACGTCAAGATCAGACCTGGGATTAAGATTATTTGAAGATCAGACGGTAAATTCTCTCTCGGGCACATTTCAGAGTGAAGAAACCTCACTCTCAGTGTGTGGCAGCCAAGGACACTGATGGTTGAACTGCAACAACTGTTGGAGATCACCACAAGGGTCTGGACCAGGGTCTGGACCAGGAAGATGACCAGGAACAGGAGCCGGAGCAGGACCATAAATTAACAATATGTCTGTTCAAAGACTTAAAGCTCTTTTTGAAAATCCTGGACTCAATGAGGGACAGGGAGCAGCTGACGAAGAGTGAGTTCTGTTTGATCACTGATTACTGATCGGGGTCCTTTCATTGACACCGTTTGTCGATTACTGATTGGTCCTTGTTTTTCTTTTTGACTAAATTTACTGTCAGTGATTTTAAAAGGTTTCCTAGAAAATGTTTACATTGGAATTGTGCTTCTCATGTGTTATCACTACCAGGGTCCAGCAGAAGGGGGCAGCACCTCTTGCAGCACCCAGACACAAACGGGTGAATCAATGTGATGTTAGCCATGACGGAGGTCGAAGGTCAAGGACAAAACAACTTTGATTTTTGATTTTTTGATTTCCAACAAACTTCACTTCACTCTCTCTCTCACACACACACACACACACACACACACACACCTTTATCTTTAAACTTTGTTAAATTAAAATTACTTCTTATCTTTTTTTCAGTTTTCTTCATGAAAGATACAAAAATTTAACATCTGTGAAAAACGACGAAACTGACGGTGGGAGAAAAGAAGAAGAACAAGAAGAAGGCGGCGGCTACGGCAGCTCTGCAGGGTATTTCATTACAATATATTTTATTTATTTCTACATATATTTCTATTATATCATACTTTTATAATTTTGTTTTTAAAATTTTACTGAAATATTCCAAATAAAGTTCATGGTTAGGGTTAAAATATAAGCTAAATGTTAGCTATAATAATCAAATATGATATAAGTGAAAGCTAAAAGTTCTGTTTAAATATGTAATATGGGCGGAGCTAAAAGTAACTGAAAATTGACGTTAAAATTTCTTTCATTCTTTTGTTGTCATTTAGATTTTATGATGTTTACGGAAAACAAAAAAAATTTCTGTATGAAGCCACGCTTGGAGATGGCGATGTTGTCAGCAGTGACATCACCAGTTATGAAGACAATGAAAAAAGGTCAATCAAAGGTCAAACTTTTGAGGTAAACTCTGGACCGGACTTTTCTGTCCGTGTCCATCTAACGATGAACGCTAAAGTTTTTCTCTTTTCTCTCAGGGTTGACGCTGTTTACCACAAATCTTTAAACTCACCGACGGTTTACGACCACGTTGATGACGACGGCGACTACTATGGGTAAGAATTAATAAAACACTTCTGAAGAGAAGCTAAAACCAAAATATCTTCAATTTAGCTGAAGCTAAATCTTAGCTATTAATTTAAAAATATATTAAAGCTGTCGTGAGAAACTTGGTTAGCCACATAGGTTAGCGAATATATAGTCTAACCTTTATTGAAAAAAAATAGTAATACTTAATATGGATAAATGCTAACTAAAAATGAACTAGCCTTAAAAGAGGCTAATTATACCAACACAGAATTGTCAACACAAGGCCAAAAATTACATCATCATCATCATCATCATCATCATCATCATCGTTATTATTATTGTTATTAATCCAAACCCACCTGACCAGAAAGTGATGTCTGCTTCTTCTTGTCTTCTACAGGATTTACGAGGCGATCCCGGATGTTCCCAGTAACCAGTACCAATCCAGGAACCCCACGGAGCTGGACTGCATCTTTAAGGTACCCTGATCCTCATCAGTCCTGGTCTAGATCCTGGTTTTTCTTAGGACAAACAGAAGCAGAAACAGTTCTTTTTGTTTCTTTTTCACAACAAAATCAAAAGGACTGAACCTGGTCCTCTCCAGACCTGTAAAGCAGGCCACACCCCTGGTCCTTTACAAACTAGTTCCTGGGACTGTTTTCAGTTCCATAAATCCTGGTTCAGGTTTTCAGATAATACCAAGTCCCTGTAGTGGAAGTACTGTTCCTGGTACTATACCCATTTTCTGGTATTCATTTCTGCCAAAGAAACACATACAGATTTTGTAAATGTCCTTGGTTCCTGGTAATCAGTGCCTCAGTGGAACTGCACATTGTTCCTGGTACTGTTCACTAACCCACACAGGTTCCTGCTTCTACCTCAGGACCGGCCTGTAATTCCTGGTACTGGCTTCAATTTCTGCTGCAAAGATACAAACAGCTGCTACTACTTGTCTTGGTTCCTGCACTGGTACCGATCCCTGTCTTGTTGTTCTTCTCCAGGGTCTGGAGGAGCACCTTGGTCTCTTCATGAAGCAACAGCTGAGGACGTACAGACGGAGTCTGAGTCCAGACTGTCCAGAGTCCAAGGACCGGGAGAGTCAGAACCAGGACCAGGGGCTGGTTTACGCAGAGGAAGAGGAGGCGCAGGGAAGGAGGTGCAGGAAGGCCTTCTTTAAGATCACGCTGCACTTCCTCAGAAACATGGAGCTCCAGGATCTGTGCAACACTCTGAAGAACAGTAGGTTCTCCAGGTTCCTGCTCTCATTCTTGAAGACCATGGAGTCTCGTAGACCTGTAGCCAGGATCAGTTGCACCGGCTGTTATTAGGTCTTTGAGGCTAACATTTCACTTCCCTGTCGAGCTTTGACGTTTCCTTTAGCTTCTCTTACCTACATTTTATGTACCATTAACACGCTAGTGCTAACTTCCTGAGAGTTCTGGGTTGTGGATTAAATGTGCTAAGGATGGATTATTTTGTCAATCTGGATTAGAGAATCCTACATTGTTAATCTGGATGATGTAATCTCACTGTCTGATTATTTTGGGTTGGTTCCGTTCTTCCTCATCCTCTTCATCTTCTCCCGGTTCCTTCAGGAATGGAAGCTGCGGTTTGTCAGAGAAAACTGAAAACCACCTTAAAGACGAGGTTGGAGGAAGAGCTGAAGGAGGTGATGGAGACCTTCAGGAACCCAGTTTACACAGAACTGGCCATCATTAAAGAAGGAAGAGAGGAGGTGAATCCAGAATACCTGTTTGGAACAACTTCCTGGAAAAGAAACCCAACAGAAACCATCAGACAGAACAATATCTTCACTTCCTGGTCTGGAGGAACTGGACCGACCAGGACCGTGATGACCAAGGGTGTAGCCGGAATTGGGAAAACTGTCCTTACTCAGAACTTCACCCTGGACTGGGCTGAGGACAGAGCCCACCAGGACGTCCACTTCATCTTTCCCTTCAGCTTCAGGGAACTGAACGTGGTGAAAGAGAAGAAGTTCAGCCTGATGGAACTGATCCATCACTTCTTCACTGAAACCAAAGACACCGGGATCTGCAGCTTTGACCAGTTTAAGGTGATTTTCATCTTTGATGGTCTGGATGAGTGTCGACTTCCTCTGGACCTCCACGGGACTGAGGTCCTGACGGATGTCACAGAGTCCACCTCAGTGCAGGTCCTGCTGACCAACCTCATCAGAGGAAACCTGCTTCCTTCTGCTCGTCTCTGGATCACCTCCAGACCTGCAGCGGCCGATCAGATCCCTCTAGACCTGGTTGACGTGGTGACCGAGGTCAGAGGGTTCACGGATGTTCAGAAAGAGGAGTACTTTAGAAGGAGGTTCAGGGATGAGGAGCAGGCCAACAAGATCATCTCCCACATCCAGGCTTCTAGAAGCCTCCACATCATGTGTCACATCCCGGTCTTCTGCTGGATCACTGCCACCGTTCTGGAAGACGTGGTGAGGACCAGAGGGGGAGGAGCAGAGGAGCTGCCCAAGACCCTGACGGAGATGTACGTCCACTTCCTGGTGGTCCAGTTTACAGAACCAAGTACTTGTGGGAGATCAGAGCAAGAGAAGAGGAAGATGATCCAGTTCCTGGGGAAACTGGCTTTCGAGCAGCTGCAGAAAGGAAACCTGATCTTCTACAAAGAAGACCTAAGACAGTGTGGTCTGGACACCAGGTCTGCTTCAGTCTACGCCAAGGTCTTCCCACAGATCTTTCAGGAGGGAAAATGTTGGTACCAGGACACGGTCTTCTTCTTTGTGCACCTGAGCATTCAAGAGTTCCTGGCTGCTCTTTACGTCCACCTGACCTTCATCACCTCTGGGGTCAACCCCATGTCCAAGCAGCCATTAGTGACCACTCCACGTTTATATAGAGTCTTCAAAGACAAGCCCAAACTGATAGTCCTTCACCAGAGTGCCGTGGAACAGGCCCTAAGAAGTTCCAGTGGACAACTGGACTTGTTCCTCCGCTTCCTTTTAGGTCTTTCAGAGGACACCAACCAGACTCTGATGACCAAGCTGCTCAAACCGACAGGAAGTGATGTGGACGGAGGACAACAAACAGTGGAGTTCATCTGTGAGAAGATGAAGGAAGACCTTTCTCCAGAGAAGAGCATCAACCTGTTCTACTGTCTGAATGAACTCAAGGACCAGTCCCTGACCCAGGAGATCCAACAGTCCCTGAGGTCGGGACATTTGTCTCCTGCTCAGTGGTCAGCTCTGGTTTTCATCCTCCTGTCCTCAGCAGAAGACCTGAAGGTGTTTGACCTGAAAAAGTTCTCAGCTTCAGAGGAGGCTCTTCTGAGGCTGCTGCCGGTGGTCAAGGCCTCTGCAAGAGCTGTGTAAGTCAAGTCTGTCTGTCTCAGGGGGGAGGCCCAGAGGGTGGTGGTGGGGGAGAGAAGCAAAGCAAAGGAGAGAGGATGACAGGCCGTTACAGTGAAAACAGAACTTTACCTTTAAGGTCAGATGTTAACGAAGTTCTGCTGAGTTTGATTTGACTCGATCAAATCAAATCATCAGACACCAGTATCAGGTCTGGATCAGATTCCTTCCTGGACCAGGAATCTGTGAGGTGAAGACAGTGACAAGTTGTCATGACAGAGTGGGAGGGTTGAAAGGAAGAGAGAGAGAGAGAGAGGGAGAGTGAGACAGAGAGAGAGAGGGAGAGGGAGAGAGAGAGCTCAGTACATCACAGAAACTCAGAACTACTTCCAGGTATTCATTAATACCCAGATCTACTAGTTTAATACAGACTTCCTGAACAATGTGAAAATAATCAGTTCTGGGACAGACAGTAGCAGACAGTGGAACCGATTCAATAAAGAACAGTAGCAGTTTGAAACTCTTGTTGACTTTGTTGATTTTATTTATCCCACGGGCACTTTAGGTAGTCCACGGCGACTACGAGGTGACCCCTGTTTTAAAAGATATTTCTTATGTTGACAGAGGTGGTTTAATGGCTGGTCTAGAGATGTGTCCAATATGGGGCTCAAAGGACAGATCCTGATCAAACATTACACCAGGTTCTAAGGTGATGTCATGTAACAATAGTTCCAGATGAAGCCTCTCTTAGATGTTCGGGCTCAGTCTAATTACTTTGATTCTATCTAAATTTAGAAGTAGAAAGTTCTTGATGTGGTCTGGTTCTTAATGTCTTTTAGACGTTCCTGGAGTTTCAATATCTGTCGTCTGTACGTGTGGATGAATACAGTAGAGTGTCGTCTTTATAACAGGGGAACTGATATTGTGATCTGTAATAACACTACCTGGATAACGGTCCTGCTCCAGACCTTTTCAAACTGTGACGATCTTTGCCTGTTTCTGGTTCCAACAGGTTGAGCAACTGTGGTCTGTCAGAGCAGAGCTGTGAAGCTCTGGCCTCAGTCCTCAGATCCCCCACCTGCAGCCTCAGGCACCTGGACCTGAGCAACAACCACCTGCAGGATTCTGGAGTCAGACTTCTTTGTGAAGGACTGGGGAGTCCACATTGTGTCCTGGAGAGTCTCAGGTCAGAGGTCTATTCCTGCAGCAGCTGTGGGTCTAGAGTGTGGTTGTTTACAGTCACTTTGTTGTGTCCAGTTTGTCAGGTTGTCTTCTCACTGACGATGCCTGTGTTCACCTGGCCTCGGCTCTCAGTCTGAACCCCTCCCACCTCAGAGAACTCGACCTGAGCAACAACAACCTGCAGGAGTCAGGAGCCAAACTGTTGTCTGCTGGACTGGAGCACAGCAGCTGGAGGCTGGACAAAGTTAGGTCTCACACACACACACACACACACACACAGAACAACGACTGTGTAGTGATTGACTGACACTGACGATGACTCCTTCTCCTTCTCCTTCTTTAGGGTGAGCAGTGACGAAAGTCAAAGGTCAACCTCTGATCTCAGGCAGTGTAAGTTTATTTAGCTCCATGCTAATGTTAGTACCCTGTCTGAACAGAACCAGGTCCAGGTTTTAACTTCCAGACTAATCTTGTTTCATCATGTTTTCATATAACTTCCTGTTTTTCTCTTGCTGCTACCTCTCAGCTATTCTTTTCAGACTTTCATTGGTGCGTTGTGTTAATGTTCTCTTTTTGGCTCCAGTTTCCTGTGAAATCTATCTGGACCCAATCACGGCTCACAAGAACCTCAGGCTGTCCAACGCTAACAGGAAAGTGGACCAGGTGACCCGACCGTGTTCATATCCTGAGGACCGGGACAGGTTTGACATCTTCTGCCAGGTCCTGTGTGGGAAGGGTCTGAGCGGCCGCTGTTACTGGGAGGTGGACTGGGAGGGACAGGTGGACGTGGCCGTGTCTCTGAGAGGAATTGGGAAGAAAGGCTACAGGAAAACCTGCAGGTTCGGAGGAAACGACATGTCCTGGTGCTTAAGCTGTTCAGCCGACGGTTACTCCGTGTGGCACAACGACAAGGAGACACCACTGCACACGTCTTTTGTCTCTCACAGGGTCGGGGTTTACGTGGACTGTCTGGCTGGAATTCTGTCCTTCTACAGAGTACCCGACCGGTCGCCACTACTCCTTCATTCCTTTACCTTTAAGTTCAGTGACCTTCTGTATCCAGGCTTCCGAGTCTGGTTTGGTTCAGTGTCTTTGTGTCCCAAAGATATGATGGCATAGGTAAATGTTAGTGGAATTAGGATGTCCCAAACCTGTGCCAGAGGCTACCCCTGCTGGGACTCAGACCAAAGGAAAGGCTGAGCTGCAGTTCCACAGACAATTCAATGGAAATCACGTGATTTAGGCGCCTCTTCAGGCAGCAATGCCCCCGACATCCAATCAGCAACTAGTTTCACCTCCCCTGAAGTAAGCAGAGAAGTGAACAATGGTGGACAAGCTTATCATCACCATGTGAGGGCACCAACACTGCTTCTACGTCTTATCGGGACTGGAATAAGAACAGAGAGAATGGGCTAAAGTTAGCTTCTGGTCTTAACGCATTCTGCTACAAAATTAGCAAAATGTGTAGCAAAAAGCTATAGCTTAGAAAAAGCCTGATAAAAAAAGCAGGATGTTAAAAAAATTAATTTAATGACTTAATGTCCCAAAGTTAGTCATAACTGCCAAAGTGACTACTACAAGTATGACAATAATAATAATTCTACAGGTGTCACTAAAGATTTAAAAAAACTTATATTAAATATACAAAAATCACAGACTGAAATGAGTTGGACTCACCTCGTCCTGGTCTTGGTACCAGTCCTGGTCAGGTTCAAACAGTTTTATATTGATTGTGTTTGAGCAGTAAACGCATTTGTGTTGTTCTTGAGTTTGAGAAATAAATAAATAAATAAACAGGAACTGATTTGTAGGATCAACACTGGAACACTGAGTTCCTCCAAATGGTACTTTGGTACTTATGAAGGATTCAGTGGAACTAATACTGACACAGTAATGACTACAATCCACAGACTGAAGACGGATCTTCACTCCAGCTGTGATTTACACATGAAGACAAATGTTTTAATTCCTGTTTTAATTAGTGTCTTCAAGAGATTTGAAAGAGGAAATAAACTTTTTCAAAACCTTAATATCTCATTCCTTCAGTTCTTTAGAGGGGAACTTTAACAGCGTGTTCACACCAGGGACATCCCTAGTGGACATGTGAGGAGTTCACACCAAGTTGTTTCGACTTTTTTAACCAACACAGATCCACTGCTGCTCCATCACTGAGTTCCTCTGTTGGAACTCATCTGTTCAGACCAGCAGCATCTGTGTCTCTGTAGTCAAAATCAATGAGAGGTGAAGGAAGCCATCTACGTCAATCTGTAGAAACCATCTCAACAGAGGAGGTGGTTTGAGACACAACCTTTCATCCACCTATAATGTCGTCCTGATGACCTGGATGACTGAGAACCTACACAGACAAAATCAACGATTTTCTTGTTTAAAAGACAACCACAAACTCTGCTGGTGTTCTTCTAAACCAGGCGTGCCCAAACTGTTCCACGAAGGACCGAACGGCCGACAGACAGGGGGCGTCTTTTCTTTAAAACAAACTTTTATTTTTAACATCAATATGGCTGATCAAAGTGAATAGAAAAAAAACAAAACAATCAAATTAAGCAAAAATCAAATTTGCTTAATCAAATTAAGCAAAACTGCTCATTTGTGTGTCACATTGTGAAAGACGAGCCGTTCTCACTGGAGCAGTCCACTGAGCGGCGCGTGGACACGTAGACCTCAGAGGTAACCCTGGAGAAGCGGCGGGGGGAAATGTAGCGCTTGCCCAGACACCAGAGATCCTGAACAATTCTCCTGAAGTGGTTCCTGAACTTCACGCCTACAAAGGCATACAGCACCGGGTCCAGGCAGCAGTGCAGGTAGGCCAAGGTCTGGGTCACTGTTTTGCCCACCTGCAGTGCGTCTGAGGCCTCACACTCTTGCTGCTCAAACATGTTGACGGTGTGGTACAACAAGGTGATGTTGTAAGGCAGGTGGCAGAGCACGAACACCACCACCACTGCCAGAACAACCCGCAGGGCCTTGTGCCGCTGAAAGTTTCTGGCTCTCTGCAGAGTGACGATGACGGCAGTGTAGCAGAAGGTCATGACCAGCAGAGGCAGGAAGAAACCCACGGCCAGCTGCGTGCTGGGAACCGTCACCTTGGTAATCCAGGCCACCGTGTCGTTGTAGAACCTGAACTCACAGACGTACTGTGGAGACCTGCTGGTCCCGTTCCACTGATGGACATCATCGCGGGCGTGTAACGGCTCGTACCAGCTGTAGAAGTAAAAGGTCGGGACGGACAGCAGGATGGCAAAGGTCCAGACAATGACGCAGATAACACGGCTGTAGGGCAGCGAGCGCAGTCTGAAACTGCGGCGTGCCTGGACGATGGCCACATAGCGGTCGGCGCTGATGCAGGCGAGCAGCAGCAAATCACTGTACAGGTTGACGCTGTAGCAGCCGCGCAGCACCTTACATGCCACCGGTCCCATGGACCAGGAGGTCAGCTCGTTGTAGACGATAAGAGGCAGCGCCGCCACGAAGAGCAGGTCTGCCACCGCCACGTTCAGCAGGTAAACATCTGTCATGGATTTGGTTCGCTTGTAGAAGGCGTAGGTTACGATCACCAGACTGTTCCCCACGAAGCCCAGGATGGCGATGAAGGAATGGATGTATAGCCACACAAACCGCTCCACCTGGTTGTTGTTCTGGAAAGAACAGGGTTCCACGATGTCGTAGTCCAGGTCAGTGAGGTTGTACATGAACTCCACTTCATTCTGGGCCATGTCTGACTTCTTCAGCTGGAAGAAAAACCAAAACATTAAGAGAAGAACCTGGTAAATAAAAACTAAAGTGGTCAATTTAAACGAAACCCTGTCCCGGGTCATCAGCTCTACAGCACGAAGCACAGACATGTCCACTCCAGACCCCACAGCTCGGCAGGTCTATGGGGTCAATGGTCTGGTCAACACCAGCTGACCTCCAACCACAACCACAAATCTACACAGAAACCAACGACACACACCTGGAAGGTCTGACACACCACACGGTCCACAAACCACAGACACCAAAGCCAAATGATGTCATTATGACATCATCAGCTTATTTAAAAACAGGAAGTGATCATACGAGGGGGCCGGCTCAAGAACTGGGTCATGACTACATTCAAGGTTGTTGAGGACTTCATCGTGGGATCCGGCCCACTCTACACTGTTTCAGCCTTTTGCAAACGAGTCTGACACAGTTTCAGCATGTGAGAATGACACGAAGGTGGCGCTGCAGTGACCAGTCTGCTCCAGTTGTGGTTACTAGAGGCGGTGAACATGTGAGTGTTTCAGTCAACAGAGGAAGTCTGCAGAAGAAGAAAAAGAGGTCACGACCCACTTCTGATACAAGCCGTTTTTTCTTCTCTCCCTCTCCCTCTCTCAGCAGCAGGGAGCCCACACAGACACAGGTCTGGGCCGGGCCGCAGGTCTGGGCCGGGCCGCATCTTCATCGAGGTCAGTTCCTCGAACGGCACTGGTTCCTCTCTGTACTTCTGCTCCTCGGACACCGGGGGCATGGCCTCAACTTCTGACACTTCTGCTTGTTTAACGGTCATCTGATTTCTACCAGCAGTGTCCACTGAAGAGGTCACATGACCCAGAGCAGGTTCAAACTTCATCATTAGTCATGTGTGTTTCAGATATTCATCAAAATGGTGAAATCATCATCTAATTACCATGACCTCAACTCATCAACCACATTATCTTCTCACAATATCAGCAGATTATTACAGTATTATATCATTATTATTAAGAATATTTGACCTCCATTGTACTCTGACACCTGCTTCTCTGAAAACCATGTCTAAACTGTTCTTTCCTAAAAGCCTGGAGGTTCAGATTCAGTTCAAATCATACGCTCGTTTTATAACAGATTAAAATTAGAATTAAATTAGGAGGAGGATGGTTTTCTATTAAGGAAAACAAACAACAGACAAAAATGATGAGAAAAAAAGACTCACTGTTGGAACGTCGACTACGATGCTGCTGCTGCTGTTGCTGATGCTGCTGCTGCTGTTGGAACGTCGCATCCGGTGCTGCTGTTGCTGCTGATGCTTCCTCTCTGGATTGACACTACTGCTGTGTGTGTGTGTGCGCGCGTGTGTGACACATACAAACATGTTTCCGGTTGTGAAGACACTAAACTTTATTTAAACCAGATTATTGACAGTAACAGAATAGGTGAAAATACCAACAGGTACTCGGAGGTATTCTCAGAGAATCAGGTCACGTCCTCCATGTAATCAGCGTCACGACTGTGTGTGAGCTGAGAGATACTCACGTCACGAGTGCTGTCGTCCAGCTGCAATCACATCACAATCACACGGTCAGTTTCAGATCTCTGACTGGTCACCACATCGCTCACTCTGATTGGTCAGTCAGTGAGGACTGAAGCTGGTCACCTGATCACTGCTCTCAGGTCCTTCAATAGAAACTTCCTCAATTTCTTCACCGATGCTAAAGGAACTTTTTGACAGATCAGAGCGATGACTGAAAACACACAACACAGACATGTCAATAGGCACGCCCTCTGCTGGACACACCCTCTGTGGGACATCTCACCTGTTGAAGTCATCATCATATTCAACATCCACGTCCTCGTCTGAAAGAAAAACAAAAAACAAAATCAATAAACTTTTATTGCTATTTTTGTGGCCCACTTTGGGCAATGTACACTTCCTGATCCGTGGACAGGAAACCACTCTTACCTAAACACAAAGATCCATTTTTATCCTTCTGGAGCTTTGACTGCTCTTTGACTCCACCTCGTGCTCCTTCTCTTTTAGGTCTGGAGTCTAGGGTGTGTGTAGAAAAAAGAGGAGAAAAAAGAGGAGAAAAAGGTAAGGAGAACAACAAGCATTATCTCTAGGTGGGGGTGGGCAGGGGCTCCGATGTGTAATTCTGCACTTTGTCAGCAGAATTACTGACCGTTCCTGTTGTGACTGTGCTCTGATACTGGTGGTGCTCCTGCTGAGGGGGGGGCGTCCTCACTCTGTGACCCTGCTGGACTCTCCCTGCTGCCTGACGGCTCTGCCCTCCTGCCACACAAAGGCAGAGTCAGCACACAACAAAGGCTCTGCCCATCGCTTTAATTCCTACTCAATCTCAGCCCCGCCTCTCTGCCACTCAACGGCGCCCCCGTCTGTGACGTGTGACCGGCCCCTCACCAGCCGTAGGTCTTTTGAGGTTTTGGCAGCGGGTCGTCAAAGAACGAATCTCCATCATCCAGGTCCTCGTCCATATCCAAGTCCAGGTGCTCCTTCCTCAGACCAGGAGAGGGCGCCCTGTTGTCGTTCAGCAGCTGCGTTTTATCACTAACAACATCCTGGAACAAGAACAAGATCAGATCCTGGAGTTCAGGAGGGGTGGACACAACAGCAATACCAGTTCAGTACCAGTTGCTGATTGGTGAAAAGTATGGATTAAATTCAGCACATCTGAATCAATATTTTAACACTTAAAGGGAAGTTAAGCTAATGATGATGTCACTAGTCAGGTGACTTCTTGCTCTGTGTCGTTTCATTGACAGTAAGATTAGCAACCTGATGCTAACTACAGGTAAAAACAACTGTTAATAAATGAGAGGCTAAATACCAAACAACGTTAGCATTAAGTGTTAATCAAACACACCTTACTGACTGGGGGGGGGGTGGTCGACTCCTGGGGGGTGTGGCTAACCTCCTTGTCCTGGAAAACCTAAACAGAAATCTATTTGTATCAAGACTTTTACTTTGAAAATACTTTTCCAGAGTGATTTCCTCACCTCGCTACTGATGCTGACTCGACGGCTCCCCCTCCTGACCAGCTCCAGCAGCACAGGAGTGTTGTGGTTCAGTTCAGACGCTGACAGACCCAGACTTCTACAGACCACATCCCGACCGTCCAGACCACTCAGCTGTGAACATCAGAAGAGGTTTGAAGAAGTCCTTGACAACACGGTGGCCCGGCATCAGCACCAACTCACCAAGTCGATCTCAGGCTGGAAGACTGCCATGGTGAAGTCCAGGTTAAAGACCTGCAGGAAGTCCAAGATCAGACTGGCCACCAGACGACCTACAGACACAGCCCGGTTTAGAGAGGGACTTTTCTACCATTCATGTAAACATCAACCAACACTTGACCCTGAAGTTCCAGACCTGGACCTCAGCTGGAACCTGAATGTAAAGGAAGCCAAGACTGATTTGTAGTTCTGGAGATCTGGTGAAGATAAGAGCAGAAGACTAACCTTCTTTGGTGCTCAGACACTTCTTCAGATTGTGGTTGATCAGAGGGGTTTTGTTCTGTTTGGTTAGAAGCAAAATAAGAAGGAGAAATGAAGAAGAAGAAGAGAAGAAGAATCATGAGATACAATCAGCAGATCACAACAGTAGAAAAAAGGAAAACAAAACAGTAGAAGAAGAAGAGACTTCACCTCCACTGTGTCCTGCTCCTCCATGGCCAGAAAAACAGCAGCTCTCAACTCAGCCTACAGGGGAAACATCATCGCTGCCGTTAGCTCTTTCAACCTTTTTACTTACGTACATTGATTCCATAGAAATAAAGGTTATATTCTCAACACCTTGAGTTTGTTGTTTTTATTATTATTCTATTATGACCACTATTACTTTGAGAAAATCATCAGTACAAAATATTTTGAAAGTTTTTAATAAAACTTTTTGTAGTGTTTAATAAACTGATGCCGTGTTGCAAAAGTGACTTCAGGTGAGCACCTCAGAAATGAAAACTAACAGGAGCCTAACAGGGCTACTAGCAGGCTAAAATGGCAGCAGCCAATTAAAACATTCGTGCACAAGGCTTACATAGCATACAGACAGCTGACATGGTAACAGTTAGCTAACATGTTTAACAGCAAGCTAAAGCGACTATTATTAAGTTAACAATGCTACTAACGAGCTATAAAAGGCTAACGAGTCTGCCAGCAACATAACTAGAAAGCCTTACAACAAGCTAACGTCGTTCACAACAAGATAATAGGATCCACAGCAGCTTAGTAAGATTACATTACGGTCAAGTTGCCCATAGCTCGAGAGAAATTAGTTAACTAAACAAGCCTACAATGCTCACACCAAGCTAACAAGGCTAACGACTTTCAATGCCCAACGGATGTGACTTGACAGTCGGTGTCCTTACCTTGATCTTGTTCAGGACTCCATTGGTTTCCAGGTTCTGGATGAGGAGGTCCCGCAACTCCGTGTCGTCTTCAGCTGCTGACATGGCGTAAAAATGAAGAACAATTTAACTATCTTTAGTGCTAATAAACAATTACTCTTCCGCTTCCGCTCTTTCTTCTTCTTTGTCAGATTAAAGGAAACTCAATAGTGTAAGGGCACCCGGGTGCTCTCTGAGTGTTTTGGCTGTTTTAATATTTTCTAACGAGGGAAGATCGGCGCCTTAAAATGAAATGGTTGTCATTATGTTCTCAGATTTTTTAAAAAACGGTTACGCTGTGACGCCGCTTGCTGTTGAGCGAAATAAGCAACACTAGCTTCACACTACAACTATGACTCACGGTCGTACTCCGCGTCATCCCTGAGTTCTGCTGTTGTATGTCCCAGTCTCCTCTTTCTCCACGGGTTTGTTTCCTTCCTTTCCTTCTTTGTCATTGTCTTCACCTCAAAAGTTCCTGCGCCTAGAGAACCACAGGACCTGCTCCAGACCTGACACCGATATCATTCTTTATAACTAATCAAACCTAACTCAGCAGAACTATTTTAACATCAAACATTAATGATAATGTTTTTCCTACAACGGTACTGTTTACACTGTAACAGTCAATGTTGTTTATATACTTGTTAAACTTATTTTTCTTTTTATTGTAAATATAAACTCAACGTTGATTGTGGATTTCCGGGGATTTAAATCAAAATTATAAAACTGTAAAGGCCATTGAGACAAATGTGTTTTTTTGAATATGGTCTGAACTAAAATCACTGATTTTCTCTATGGACTTTGGTCTGAACTAAAATCACAAAAAGAGAACAGCCCAGGGAAGTAGAAGAAGCCAGCTTTGATCTTATCAGACTTTAATGTTAAAATCCATACTTTGTGAATATTCATATAAATGACTCTCATACTCTTTCGTAGACGCCCTTACTACGTAACACGAATGACAAAAAGCAAAACATCAGACAAACATTCTGCAGAAAATGTGTGACTTTATGTCACACATTTCATTAAGTTGTCTGCAGCGGAAGTGCGCTGTGAGGGCCCTTATTGTGAAAACCCTAGGCGAAAACGTGCTCCCAACTGTTGGGAACTTGACTGTCGCTTGTTGTTTGTGCACATCAAGATGGCGAAGATGCGAAGTGAAAGCGAGAAGACGCAATAAAACAGGCCGAACGGCAGCATAAACCGAGCCGCGGAACTAGTCGAATCATAGCTACACTCCAGCCGAAACCATCGCAGAAACCTGCTGTGGACGAGTCGTTCTTTTCCAGAAGGTTCGGTTCAGTCGTTCCAGCGGTAGTCGGCAGCATCATTTCATTCGTTTGATTGACACCTCTGACGTGGGTGAAAATCGACGAAGAATAATCAGTTGATAACGGTTTTATTAAATAGTTTGCTCTCATTGCAGCAATGGTTAATTTGTTAGTGAACGCGGTTTGGTTTAATGATTGATCGATGACGTCAGTGCAGTGAAGGTTATTCAGGTGATCAGTGATCGCTGGTGTAACAGGGCGGGGCCTTGTTATAACACTGTAAAACACACAACACTGTAATGTTGTGTGTTCGTGACGGTGTGCGAACACAAATGTACACACATTTTAACACAGCCGTGATGACGTCACATAATGCATCATGTATACATCGTGTTTACTGTAGCTACAGTATATACATTTATAACCAAATGTACTCACTTTTCTTTCCTTCCTTTCCTTAATTGACTGCTCTAAAGTGCCACCAGGGGCGCTGTTTTCCCCATCATTCTGATTCATACTCCCTTTTAATTTAATTATCAACCAAAACATTGTTTATATTTTTATTTTGTCTTTCAAACACTTACAGTTACGTTACATTTTGATAAAACACGTTGACAAAATGTATCATTTAAAGAATTGTTTTTTTTAATGTTTTTAACATTTGGCTCCAAGCTCCACCAACACATTTTAGTACAGATTTTTAACCCTAATGTTGAAGTTATACATTTTTATATTTATACCTCATCTATACACACAGGAAACACACATTCATTTAATTTAAAGATCACTGACAGGTTTTTATGCTAACATACACTGTTTATTCTTTAACGTTTTTATGAACTGTATAAATGTCATAATTTCAAATACTGATAAACATCAGTGATTCTTGATGAAAGTACAGATTATTTGTTAACATTGAATCAAAATACTCTGTTCGGACAATAGAAAATAAATGTTGGTAAAATGGATAAAATGTAGTCGGTCATTTTGACTGACAGTCAGGGACTGTCAATCATTGACCTGCTGACCAGTGATAGTCATTGTGTATGTGGTTGGCAGGGGGCGCTGCAGTGACTCGGTGCAGACATGGACACCACCACGTCCATCAAGATGACCACTCTGGCCATCCAGAACCTCTTCAGCTACGTGGAGGAGGAGAACCTGGCGGCACTGCGGGCTCACCTGGACCGCTTCAAGGAGGTGGACGGACGCAGTGACGTAGGTGTCGCTCAACAGGAAACAGGAAGTGTCTTTTTGTCACACGTGTGTCTTTCTCATGGTCTGTGGTGGTCTGTGCTTCTTCAGAACGGACAGACTCCTCTGATGTTGGCAGCAGAGCAGGGCAGTCTGGACATCGTCCAGGAACTGATTCGGAGAGGAGCCAACGTCAACTTGGACGACGTGGTGAGACACAAAACACTGAGGGGACAGAGGCCGAGACAGAGTGAGCTGGGGATTGGGGGGGGACGTCTGATCTCACTGCCTTACACGCAGGACGTCCTGAGTTTGAGCCCCAGAAGAACCAACATACTTGGTGCCTCCTGTTGGTCAGCGGACCAGCTGTTGAAACAACAATGATAAAGTTGTCTTTGTGTGTGTGTCCAGGACTGCTGGTCCGCTCTGATCTCTGCAGCTAAAGAGGGCCACCTAGAGGTGGTGAGGGAACTGCTGGAGAATAGTGCCTATATTGAACACAGAGACATGGTGAGACCACACACACACACACTATCCTACCACCATAGTGATCGACAGTCACTGGTGTACAGCTGGTTTAAGGTCGATGGTTCTTCACTGTTTCAGGGAGGATGGACAGCCTTGATGTGGGCGGCCTATAAGGGGCGCTGTGACGTTGTCAAACTGCTGCTGGAGAACGGAGCCAACCCTAATAACCAAGGACAGGTAACACACACACACACACACAGATCCTGATGTGTGTGTGTATAGGTCTTCATGTTAATGTGAATGGTGTGGACCTCATGTCTCCTCCCAGCAGTACAGTGTGTATCCCATCATCTGGGCTGCAGGACGGGGACACGCCAACATCGTCCAACTGCTGCTCCAGAACGGAGCCAAAGTCAACTGTTCTGACAAGGTGAAGACTGCCCCCTGCTGGGGTAAATACACTGATACACTTTAAACTCCTCCAACCCCAACGACCAAACTGTGGTCTCAACTTCCCTGGTAGTCCTGGTCCAGGTCTTAGTGTCCTCCTGGGACACAAGAGTCCACATGTGGGCGGAGGTACGTTAGCGTTAACGTTAAAGATAAACTGACTGGCCCCAAACTCAGGGGTGAGGCCCCCAACCAGGAGCCACACATGTCCGAGACCTCGGCCTCCTACAGTAGACCCTCATCCACCACTGAACCACAGGAAGGAGGTGATGACAAGACATAACCAGTGTGTGTGTGTGTGTGTGTGTGTGTAGTATGGGACCACGCCCCTGATCTGGGCATCCAGAAAAGGACACCTGGACTGTGTTCTGCACCTGCTGGAGAGTGGTGCTGATGTGGACCAGGAGGGGGCGGTAAGACTATAACAGTGATGATGATGATGTTTGTGGGAGGGGCCAGTCTGACAGCAGTCTCTCTCTCAGAACTCCATGACAGCTCTGATTGTGGGGGTGCGTGGGGGCTACACAGAGGTGGTGAAGGAGCTGCTGAAGAGGAACCCCAACGTCAACATGACCGACAAAGACGGGAACACTGCCCTGATGATCGCCGCCAAGGAGGGCTACACCGAGATCGTCCAGGACCTGCTAGACGCAGGGACCTACGTCAACATCCCAGACCGGGTCAGTTGATGTGTGTCTGTCCAGAGACACTGTGACACTTATGTTAGCCTAAGTCCTGTTAGCTTCCTCATACCGACCAACCAGGGATGTCGCCCTCACTCCACATCACAGTGAACTGAAGCATCAAGTGTTACGGTGAATTTATCGGAACTCTTCCCGTCAAAAATGTTATGCTATAATTCAACGCAAACGGAACCAAAACAAAAATACACAACAGCCACGTGTGTGTGTGTGTTTACGCTGACAGTAGCATCTTCACACCAGTGCTAACATTCAGCCTCCACAGTATTGCTAACATTTACCCTCTTCGTTAACTGCTTAGTGTGACAGGGTCAGTTTTTATGCTAACATAACAGTGACAGCGGTGCTAACTTTTAACCTGCGCTCCTTTCCATGTTTTGTCAATATGTTAGCTTTAATTATCATCATTAATATGTGACTAAATCAACCACCAGAGTGCGCTAACCTCCAGGCTACCATTGTTCTCTACCTGTGACAGAGTGGGGACACGGTGCTGATCGGCGCAGTGAGGGGGGGTCATGTGGAGATCGTCCGAGCTCTGCTGCATAAATACGCAGACATTGACATCAGAGGACAGGTGAGACCACCTGAGGTGAGACCACCTGAGGGTGG